GCGCAGCCCTCTGGGGTATCGGCTACTCCTCCCAGTTTCGTGTCATCAGCAAACTTCCTGAGGGAGCACTCTGTGCCTTCATCCAGGTCAAAAGTTGACACACAGTATTTCCTGAATCCAAACTGTTAGAATATTCTCCATCATGTGATGTTTCAGTTAATCCAGTGCTTATCACTGATAAATATTCTAGTAGAAGAATTTATGGACTTTCCCATAAAAGCTGGCTTACTTGTAATTTGTAACATTTCAATTTTCTGTAGGTTTCAAGTTGAACAATAAATGGACCCTTGTTATTCAAAAAATAATGCATCTAACCTTCAAGTAGGGTTTTGCTTGTAACTGTATTATTATTTGTCACATATTTGTGTTATTTTGATTTATGGCAGTTTGATAATGGTACTGAACTAAGCAAAGCCTCACTTATAGTAATGTAGTTTATTCAGTCCGTGACACTTCTCTTGCTTTTGGAAATTATTAGGATTCTTGCACTGAAGATACTCAACTGCCTCACAATGTAATAGCACAAGATCACCTGAACACACGTCTCTGGCTAAAGTGTCGCACAATGTTAGTGTCTGCACTAGTAACACATATACATGGAGCTGGTGATATGGAAGGTATTTTTTTTTGTTTTAGACTTTTAGAGTATAATAGGCAAGTGAGCCTATTCAAGCTCTGTTTTGTTTTTCCACAAATTAAAATATTAAAATATTCCTGTGATTTATTATCATTGAGCAATTATTTGAATTGAATTCATACAAGGCATCAAGGAATATGTTTTTTTTCAGAGTATAATCTCTCCCCATAGCATATAAACAAAAACATTATACTAATGTTCATTTAATGATTATTACCTTTTGATAAATCATTTGTGCAACAAAAATTTCCAATGTTCTATTATACTTATGCTAAATAGGTATACTCCTTTTAAAAAAGTTTATTGCTGCTGCTTATTCTATTTTTTAAAATGTCAGATACTTTTATTTTTTCATCTTTTATTTCTCCTATAAATGAAAATATCTGAATTTGGTCCAGAATCTTATATTAGTGAGATAGTACAGAATACATTTATTACAATTTGATTACAAATAAAAATGTTTTTCTTTCCTTATGCCTATAAGCTTAATATAAACCGAAGGTGACTCAAGTATCAAAATTCTAATGTCTAGGTCTGTAGCCAAACTTTGGTCTTAATTTGTACTGAGCAATTTCTGTGATGGCTATTATGGTTTGGAGTGATAGCTAAAATCATATATTTGAATATGTAGAAGGATGGATGAGAAGGACATATGATTTGCAAAATTCTGATTATGTATGCTGATGCTTGCACATAAAGGACGCATCTGGATGAATTTATAGTATTAACAGTTTAAAAACACATCTTTTTTTTTCTTTGTTCTGAGAGGAAATGTGATGGATTGTATTATTAAACATGGGATCTGTAATGTCTGATTTTCAGTAATTTTTTAATATGGGAGTGACTTAAAAAATGAAAGGAGCAGATACTGTAAAATTATTTCTATTGTATTTTCACTGTTCATATACTTCCTGCTTTTAGAAAATGATATGGTGGAACACAAAACTCTGATAAGAGAAGTGATACTAGAGGCAGAAACCTTTGATGATATCGAGACTCGGGCTGATATGATGGTGCAAGCTGCTATTCTTGACCTGCAAGAAAGACATCCCATGGCAGAAATTAAACAACTTCTGCAGGTTTGAACACAATGGAGGAACTGTTTTTTATTTTTCGTTGATACATCTCTTTGTAGAGTAAGAAAAGCTGAAGACAAGATTAAATAAGCTTGAAATGTTGCCTCTAAAGTAGATTGTTTTCACTTTGTGTGGTTTGTCCTTATAAATCGACAGCAAAAGCAGTAACCACTTCTGTTTATGTTACCTGTGTTCAAACAGAATATCGTAAGTTTGCTCCAGGAAGAGACACTCATTTCCCCTCCAGCCTCTTTGACCCTTGCGAAAACCATGCTCCTTCTGGCAGACATATTGGCACAGCAAACAGGAGAGGACACAGAGCATCACTGCTCCACAGTGGAACCATTAAACTTACTAACTCTGGCACATGAACTTACTGTTAAAGCAGTGAGTACACATTGATGAAATCTGTAAGAGGACTGTATAGTAATATATTATTTATTTACTTGTGTTCTAAAAATAGATATGCCCTTCTGCAATCTTTGTCCTTTTTTCATATACTTTCTCAAGAAAATCTCCAGACAAATTCTTTTATTGTATTTCCTAATACAGTAGTATAATCTAATACTCGTTCCCCAAGATGATGAAGAATTATATAAATAACTGCAGAATTTTAGACATACATTTATGAAATTTGCTAACTTTCAAGAGGCTTACAGCATGTCCCAGAAGTGAAAAGTTTGACAGGTCTGCACTTGCAGTGTTTTTTTGTTTGTTTGCTTCTTTTTTTTTTTTTTCCTTTTCCTGGCCTTTGTTGGATTTGTTTTAGAAGTGGGATTTTTTTTGCAGTTAGTTACTCAGGTTACTCAGGAATTCTGTTCTTAATGACTGCCTGTTTTGAGGGAGTTTGCTTCTAGAAGTCAAATCCTAACACTCATAAATCTGATAAAGACCTCATTGAAGTTGTTTCGTGTTCATTTGTTACCAAACTCAAAAACCTTACTTCCTCTGCAAAGGAAGTCTAAAGTGAAGGACTTCAGGAGCATCAGGCTCTTTTCCAGTACTTTTGATGACACACAGAATTCCAGCATTTTGCAAGTGTCTAAGTTACTTTTTTAAAAAGGCTATTTAATTTGCTTTATATAACTTAAGTTTACAAAATATGCTTTTTTTCATAGATATTTCTATATGGAGAACCAATCAAACAGCACAGAGAAGACACTACACTTACGTGTCCAGTCCTACCTTCAAAAAATATCTACTTGCCACATATCAACTTGCTAGCCCAAGTCAAAATGAGAATTGGTAAGAAAAATGCAATACACTATTGTTTTCATTTTCCTTCATTTCTATTTGTATGTTATGTATCAGCAGACAAATGGATGTGTCTGAAGAAAGTGTAGCAAACCCAATTGTTTCCATTATAGAAAAATTATTTTTAAAGCCAGCAGTAGATGCCTGGCTCCATTTAATGTGTATCTATATAAGCAAGGTATAATTCTTACAGCAATTACAATCAACAAAGGTTTAAAATATGACCTTGTATATAAATGTTATAGCTTGGTGAAACTAATACGTGCTTCATTTTTTTACCAGTGAACATTAGCAGTACTTTTCCATTTGCTAATAACACATTCTATGAAAACTGCCTGTGTTCTACCTCTTTAGAAACAATTATATGGGAACTAAATAATGATATCAAAGCATATGAGGTGATAGTGATAATTCTCTAACGATTTCCTTTTGCAACAAAATAATAGTGGCTCTTACTGCTGTTACTCTTTAAATAACATTTACACAATGTAATTAAAAATGTAAGACTTTTCTTTATATGTAAACCTGGTTATATGCTGGATAGAAACAGAAGATAATCAGTAGGATTGGTCTGAAATTAAAAAATATATATCAAAATTATTGGGTCATTGTAGTTAGGAAAAACAAACACATTTTGAAGATCAAGGACTAGCATAGCTAATATTTAAATAAAATACCCTTCTGCTAAACCTATTTTGGCGTATGTTTGAATATGTTTGCTAGATTAAAGTATTGCTGTATAGTTTAGAGCGAGATAACAGAGAATGATGTTTCATTAGGAATAGTGTTATGGCTAAAAACTAGTGCCTCTTTTCCCCTTGAAGCTGAGGGAGGAAATGCAGATTGCTTTAGCATCCTATATGAAATACTGGAGATCATTTATTAATCTAAACCCACTGTATTGTTTCAACATAACCATGTCTTGTTTTGCTAATGATGTGATGCCGGTAGTCATAGTTTATTTTGTTTAAATCTCTTCAATTGTGTCTGCAAAGATGACTGTACAGATATTTTAAATAAAAGGATAATATTCAGTTTTAAATTAGAATGAACCATCAGAATTGTTCCTATTTCATACGCTGTTGTAAGACAGTGCAAACATTTTGGTTCAGACAGGGAGCTTTGCTTTATGAAGCAAACCTCCTGATCATCTCCACTCAGTGCACTTTGGTTCACATTGTGGAGAAGCCTCAGGGTCTGAGATTCCTTTTATGGCAGGTGTGCTCCTGCCTGTACACAAAATCTTTGTTAGTTTGTACATATCAAATGCGCTTCAAGCATTACTGTGTGTTTAGCCCTTAAGCCTAGACCAGAGCTAGTCCATAGTTAAGTGCTCTGAAATGCATGTTGTACGGTTGCCAGGTACTCAGCACCAGCTCTTCTGCTCGAGAGCTCCTCTCCTCTTGCGCGTTACTGCTAGCACTGTAGCTGCGTACAGATTCCCCCCAGTAATGTCCTTGTTTGGACAGTTCCTCCTGCCAAATCCACCCATTTAGGAAGATCATATGGGAATTGATTAATATTGTGGAGTACAGTCTAAAAGCTGTGAAATTTATTAGTGAAGACTTTAGTTATGGTTAATACAAAAGGAATATTGGAATTTGTAAAATGCTCAGAGGAGATTCAGGTTTTGTCTATAATTGCCAGGTCAAGTAAAGCTTTCCAGCAGTCCTTCCAGGCAGTTTGTGAAAGGTTTTGTTTGCGTAGGGTGACCTGTATTAGGATGGCTTAGGTAAGCCTCATTGACAGCATACATACATTAATGCAACAACTTTATAGTTCCATATCTCTATCCCCTAATCAGATATTTGAGAATTGGATTGTAACAGCAAATATGTAATGGAAATTGTTGTAAGGAACTAATTTCTTTTTGCATAAGTTGGTTTTCTATTAAGTGATTCACTAAGAACTACTTTTTTTTCAGGATGCACATTAGCTGAAAAAATAGCTTGTACATCTGAAAGAGGAGATCCACTGCAATGGCTACATGCTCTCAAACATTTGAAAACAGCATTGGAGCTTTGCAGGGCATCTGCAACAAAAAAAAGGGATATGGAAGCTGAACTTCTTTTTCAGATAGGTAAATGAAATCTATTCACACATTATGATTGCCTTTTAAAGACGGGCTTATGTCTGTGGTCTATTGTAAATACAAATGTTTTACAGCAAAAATAGAATAAACTTGATATTTGCCATACTGTGTAAATGCTGATCTGTCTTCTGTGTTTATATATGATGGGATATGCAGACTGGTACATTATTCAACAAATTATTTAAAAACTACAATAGACCTTCTCCCACCTCTATGTTATGAGGGATCAAAGGTCATATCCAAGGAAGTTTAGAGTACTGTAGAAGGCTAATTAGCTTCTTAAATCAGTCAGAACTAAAGAAGATGAGAAGCTCCTAAAGCATTTCTAAATGATCTTCTAACAAAGCTAATGAATTGCACAGCATTTGCTTTTGTTTGGATTTTATTGTTAGAAGTCATTACGATTTGAAATTGTGATTGTTCTAGCTGCTGTATGAAGTAACTTATTATGTAAGTTTTATGCATTGCATTGAAAATAAAATGAAAAAAAAATGCTTATCAAGAAAAGCATAGATAATGAATTATGTACTTCGACTTTCCTGGGAGGAAAACCAGTCTGGCTATACAGGAAAAAAAAATCTTATACAAATCTTATACATCTGCTTTCTATATTTCTTTCTTAGGTAAGGTTGAGCGCCAGATAACTGAAGCAGGTAATAACAAGTCACGGCTAGCTGTTGAGAACCTCTCAGATGCTATAAAAACAAGCCAGCAACACGATCAAAACTTTGAGTAAGAAACAGTAATTTTAACAGTAATCTAATTTAAATCATATTTGAAAATAGATTTCTGACTTTTTCTCTGAGATTTGGTGGGACTTCTATTATGAAACATTTTCCGTGGTTTTGGAGATTTTTTTTCTACAACAGTATAGAAGAACTACTGTGTGCTGTCTTCTGTAAAATAAACGTTAAAAAGATTTAAATACATTTTTGATATTTAAATATATTGTTATGTAAATAGAAATATATTGTTCAGTAGAAAAAGTTACAACATTCAGTTTTATTTTCAAACTTGTACCCTCTGTCAACATCAAGAACACATCAATTAATTAAACTGAGTTTTTAGTCATATTTTAGATGATGATCTGTGGCCTTCCAGATAATAGAAATCCAGGCTGAAAAGGTTAGCAGACAGAAACACGTAGAAGAACACAGGCAGGAGGAGGATAGGAAATGTCTTTGTAACAGATGTCAGGAGAATGACTTTGGCATTACTTCTCAGCAAAGGAGGGGCCAAAAGAACTGAACCAAACCAGCCAATAAATTCTGCCAATCAACTCTGATATGCTGGACATTAGGCTGTAGGGTTTTGTCAGGGTTCATTGTGATCTTTTACAGATTTACAGAAGCACACTGTGTGAAACAAACGCTATATTTACAAGCTCATTAAGTTGAAAACAAACAAGTAAACAAGCAAACAAAGAGTTAATCCTTTTGCTGTAGACTAGCCAAAATTGTTAATTCTCTAGATAATTTTCTAGTTCACTGATTAACTTGATAATTTAATATTGTGCACATATTGTTTAATTAATATTAATAATAATATTGTGCATGTTGTTTCCTAAGCAACAATGAGAGTGCTCATCGTTCCTCCTCCATCATGATGTGGGCATCCCATGTCCTGCCCTGGGAAGCACGAGAGTTCAACAATACAGCTGCTGTGCATCAGCTTCAGTTGCTGGTTGGCTGACATAACATATTTGTACCTTCCAGCTTGGAAGTTTGGTCCATGCTATCCCTATCAGTCATTGTGCTTCAATATAAAGTTGTGGTGGGCTCTTCATGCACTTGCAAGTCAAAACACTTGATATTTCTTTGGTTTTTTTTTTTTTTTTTTTGTAGTTTCTTGACCAATCCCAATGAGAACAATGTCCCTTGCCTAGTTACAGGCAGTGTAAAGGCAACAGTTTGCCTTCATAGTTTGAGCATAGTTGTTACTTTAGCGAAAGAACTAGAACTCTGAACACAGAAGCAGTAGCGGAATAATGAACTGCTACAAGTGGTCAAGCTGATGGAAGACAGCATAGAACTACACTGTAGTGATTTTTCCAAGCTTATTTGCTACTTCTAGATTTAATTTGCTACAATCTTTCTAAATGACTGTACAGCAACACTGATGTACTTTAGCTTTTCATTTTAGAGGTCAAGGCTCAATTTCCAGATCACCTTTGTACAAGTTCTCAAATACCTCTGTTTTTTTCTTAATTGTTGTTGTTTCTTGATGTCTGACATCTATTTTTGTTAACAAGACTAGGAAGTTAACTAAAATATGGCTAAGTGTAGAACGTGTGATCTTGCCATTTAAATAGTTTGTCCTCTTCTGAACAGTATTGCATTTTTGACTTCAGTACTCTAGTGTATTGCTTCACAGAAATCATATCTAAGCAGGAATTTATTGCAACATCTGAGCAGCAACTCTGCACTATATGACTCTCTGCAGAAGAGTGACTGCATAAACAATTTGTTTGCTAAACAGTTTGTTGCTAAGACCAGGATAGCCACTTCCTGGGAGAGAACTGGAGAACTCTACACAGCCAGGACGAAGATGGATGGAAAGACCATAAGAAACCTGCAAATCAGGAAAGTTGGGGAAGATCTTCAGATACAGAGAATTTCACCTGGTTTATAAGACTGGTAGTATAAATGACCCAAAGGAGAAGGAAGCATAGGAGGAGAACAGGAATTGATGAGAACAATCCATCTGAAAATGCAGAGCTTCTGGTGCAGAACTCCAAACTGAGAAATTAGTTGTGTTCGTCAGTTCCTCAGATGAGACCAATGAGGAAATGAAGGACTGTTCTGGTCACCTGGTGTATTCTTACTGATTCTTGGAGGAGAGAAGAACATTATCAAGGTTTAATTGAAAACCTGCAACCATCTTTGCAACCAAACCTGCAAAACCTGCAACCAAAGATTCAACCATCTTTGTTTCAGGAAAGCTGACAATGGATATATGTTTGAACATGAAGAAAGGCAGAGAAATCTATAGAGATCCTGTACTGAAAGATTGGTATACTTGGCAAAACTACAATTTGTTTTCTGAATATTTGCTGCACATAATGCAAATTATATTTGGCAAAGTCTTAAATCATGGTGTTGTTAAGCATACCATAAGGATATTTTAGAGTCACTAAGACATAGAAACAGGATCACATGGCTTTCTGAAAGATGATACAGCTTACGTAGGTGATGTGGGCTGAATGAATGATCTGTTTAGTGAGGCTGTTTGGCTTGTCTTGTACAGGAGTCAGACACCATAAAGCTTATTCTGATAGTAAGATTTATTATCTGTGTGCTGTTTCTTACAGGTTAATAAGGAAATCCTATCTTGAAATAGCATTATTATATTTGCATTTTGCTAAAAATAAAGAGTATGGGTCACTGACTGATAAGATGGACCCTACCAAGTCACGGGTATGTTTCGTATGTTACAGATAATGGCGTCTTCAAAGCAGGAAACTTATTCCCATTAGAGTACTGTGCATCTTGCCGTGCTGTAACTTATTGTGACTTATAAATCCTACTGGTAAAGAAAGTTCTACTAGAAAAATCATACTGAGATATCATGTGGTACAGCAGTAGAATTTTATCTTATCTGATGTGATTTCTCATGTTTATTGCTTTGAACAATATCTATAGTAATATTTAAAACATTTTCCTACATAAAACAGGAAAAAAGCTAGAACATTAACAGTGTTTTGCTTCCTGATTACATGATAATTTGCGCTTAGCAAAGAAAATATAGCATTTAACCTAAGACTTACATGGTAATATTCAGTTTTTATCAGATTTGAGTTTTTCAGCATGAGTGGCTACAAACATTACACTCTGAACATAATGTGTAACATTACAGAAAAAGAAGTATTTAAGATTTAAGAAAAATAGAACGTTAATCAAAAAATGCTTATGAGCAGCTCTAAGAAAATTCTAAAGTAGCAGCCACTCAGTATGCTATTTTTTATTATTATTATTTTATCAATTAATCTGTGGGTTTACAAGATCTGTGCTTATTTTTACACCTTTTATTTTATTTAAAATAATTCTGTAATTCTGAGAACTGTGCTATCATCAAAATCTATTTTGCCATTATAGTAGTATACCATTTAGCATTTATAATACCAGATTTATTATATGTAATACTAAATATGAACTACCGTAAAATTTTAGCTGTCTTCTGAAGAACCGTTTTCTCCTGACAAAGCGCTGATATTATCAGAAAGCTGTAAAGCAAAGGCCTGGATTGCAGTAAGAGCAGCCGCACAGGTTGGTGCTGTATTTTGAATAGATGATATTTTGTTTTTCATGTCTTTTTATGCAACTTGAACAAGCATCTAGTCGTTACAGTACACATGAAAGACATGAATTAAGGTTCCCTGCGATTTATGCCATGGGTCTCATTTGAAGACATTAAAATGCACACTGACTGACTAGTGCATTTAATCCCTCTTGGACAGATCTGGCTCTGCTTCTACTTTGGTTCAATGCAAATATAACAGCACGCAGCCTGATATGTGTGCCTACTTATTTGGCATGTGGGTAGACATCAGTAGCATCCAGGTGAGGATATTTGATTTGAAATCGCTTGTGTAGTAATTAAATTGTCAGCAGTAATGATTTATTTAACTGTGGTATGTACCATCTGTCAGAAAAAAATAACGGAATATTTTTCTTTCTTTCATATTTTAGAATATGGTATGTAGAGCAATTAATTTTTCATTTTTAGCTTGCTAGTATTAGGTTTAAAAAAAACTATGTGTGTGTAGCAGTGAACTAGTCCTGAATAAAACAAATATTATTTTCAGGTCAGTGAAGCTGTGCTTGCTTCTCAGCTATTAATTGGAAGAAAGAGCGTTAAAGAACACAATGTGAGGGATACAGTGCAAGAGAAAATCCCTGAGTTTGCTTCCATGGATCTTCTTGCTTCATACAGAGATTTCCTATCTGGTATTCCTTTATATCTAAGAATTTTAGAATATTAAATTAGTAGTAAACTACATATGCCATGTCATCCAGTAATATATTTAATATCTAATTTTCCGTTATGAAAAACAATTTGTCAAACTTGGAAAGTAAAAGCAAAATCCTCTTGTCTTGTACAGCTGTACAAACTATGGGCATGTTATGTAACATGCCCCATGGGTCTTTAAATATCAGTCTGTGCGTGTGGTAAATGGGTTAAGGAAAATTGCCTTGTTTGCATGCTGTGGTTCACAATGGGAGAGAGAGAGTGAGAATGAGAGAGATTTCCACTGTCTTTCTGGTAGAACTTTCTTTTACCTAATGATTTCCAACTTCTGGGTTTATTTTACAGCTAATGGATTTGATGAAATGGAAGTTTTTGTTGAAAAATACTTTCAGTGAAATGAAGAATTGTGCGATAGCAGTGTCCAGACATTGTGATGAATCAAATGACACTAACGCAAAATATTTAAAACTATTTTGAAACCAGGAAACACTAATTCAGTGATAGCATTTTGATTCAGTGCCTTATTTTCAGTTATCCCAAGTGCCTGACAGAGAGTGAATTGCGCTGCCTGACAGTTGTTGGCCCAGCGGAGCAACGTCTGCTTGCTGTGTGGTGTTCAGCAGACCTAAGGGCTCTGACTGGCTTGTGAAAACAAATGCTGTGCGCTAAGACCTTCCATCCACCTTGTTGTCTTGTAGCTCCTCCATTTGCTTATAATTACAGATCATTTTTTTCTTTTAGTAAATGCTGCAGGTGTTTCTCCCGATAGCTCTGTTATGCAATACAAAGAAGAATAGAAAGTATAAAGAGGCAATAGTAGGCCAAAATGTATAAAGGTGAACTTAAATGGAAATGATCAGCACGGCATGCTAAATATTTTGTGTAAAGCCATTACTGAAACACATCATTTAAGTTTCATTTCTAAACAATGTGAACATTTTAAGTAAATTCTCTTTTTACAATGGATAATGAAATATCAGGAATAATGGAGGTATTCATATTTTATAGAAGGATACATTATTATTTTCTGTATGTTTGCTATTAAGAATTACTGTAATATAACTGTGTTCAGTTTGGAGTGAGCAGCAGACCAGAGGAGTTCTGTTGACTGTCAAGGAAGGAAGTCAAAGTTTTAGTGAATTAATTAATAATATAGTGGTAACTGTACTGTTGTACTTTTTTTGGAATAAGCATACCTTTCAGGTAACACCTCAAAAAGACTATTTTAGTCCATGGTTAAGAACACATTTCATTCATGCTGTGTGTAATATTTAAAAGGCACTGGATCATACCAACAGTAAACATTTTACTGTTGTTACTATGATTAGTGACTTCAAATATTTCTACTACTTAATAAATATGTGTTATAGAACACTGGGGCTGTATAGAACAAGGGCTGTATATTTAAATTCAGCAAGGGTTTTGTATATTGCCAAAATACTACCTGTAAGGATTCCTAAGCCTCTTTAATAAGGTATATGAAATAAACCAGAAGAACCTGTGGCCTTACACCAGGGGATTCATTTATGTCTTGTAGGCCCAGTGCACAGCAGAGTTGCATGATGCCAAAGGGAGCATAGGAAGCATTTTTTTCAAACAGCGTTTTTTTCAGAGCGAGAATATTTACCTCGATATTCTCCGTATATATAGTCTTTTCCCTTTACTTTCTTGGTGGTGAAAAGTAGGGAGCAGCTATATATGAACCTATTGACTACGAGTGACCTGGTTTCATGGGAAATACAGGGAGAGGGCACTGCAATTCACTTCTACACTCTGCATGTCTCAGAGGGAGAAAACAAAAACAAAACCATGCTCTCTACCCACCCTTAGCTTCCATGGATGAGGCAGAATCTGGACCGTGATTAGAGAAGTATTTCCTTTAAAGTGTGCACTAGTGCTTAAGCGGAATAGAAAAGGTCTTTGTGATATTTAATAAAAACATCTGTGCATTAAAAAAATTGCAATTTGAGTTACAGATAGTCGGTTCCAACACAATATAGAAATATCTTGTGAACTATAACCATTTATTTGGTATTCATTTTTGAACTCCTATTGTATTTGCAGATGGATACGATATTGTCTCTAGAAGTCCCACAGCAGCTAAAAACAAATGTATCGTACAAAACAAGCAGGACCAAAGTGAAGAACTAGCATATCTTGCCACTGAGGCCTGCCAGAAGAAACAGACCATAACATGGGTTCACCTAATTCGCTACCACATTTATTTAAAAAGACTTTACAACACAAACCCTCTATTTGGTATGACTTTTTTTTTTCCTTCCTCTACAAAACTGATGCAATTCAGCTACTGTTCCTGGGGGCCAAAAGTGTAAAAGAGTTGAGCTCAGAATCTGAGATAAGCTCATTCCTCTAAAATGTGTTAATGGGAAGAAACTTGACTGAAATAAAAATAATTTTGTCAGTTTGCAAGTACTGTAAGGGAACACATCATTATCTTTCCCACAATTATTCATAAGCTTTAATGACACTGCAAGAAGCATGTGTCAAAACAGAAATCCTGTCTTTATTTCTATAGCCTTTTCTCATGCATAAAGTAAGTGTATTTTTAATTCCAGACAGCTCAGCGTTAAGTCACCTCAGAAGTACTAAATCTAGTCAGTTTGGGAGCCTGTTTGTGAGCAGAGGCATTGACTGTCATGTAGATGGAAAGGCTGAGTATTATTTAAATGAGTTTTAACTAAAGCCCCAGGTGTTTTGTTGGTTTATTTCACTGCACATTAAAGATGGTAAAGGATGATGCTGTTAAATAGAATAAGGATCCATTAATTTCAGAGTCCTAATACTGTGCATCCGCCTTCAAAGGCTACAGTTGGGTATACAGATGATGACCAGACAGTCGAGACTAGAGTCAGTCTGTACGTTTGGGAAACTGCTCTTCGCTTTAGAAGTAGCCTTTGCCAGCCAGAGGGGAAGCTTAAAAAATAACATTTCAGAAAGGATTTTTTTTTTCCCCCTAAAGTACCAAATGAAGGAATTATTCTGCTTTGCCACAGAGCTATACACACAAGTAGGTGGCAAAATGTTCTTGGATGCCTCAGCTGCAGTTACAGTTGACAGAACCTAGACAGTGTAGCTGTGTAAATTAGGGTAAGCTACATAGCTCTCAGAACCTCTTCGGGCTGTCCTGAGTAAATATGTGTTTATGTGGTACCTTGACATCTAGTCACCATATTGGTGCTTACATCAAGAAAGCTAAATTTAAGGCAATTAACCTCAAATCTACTCATCTGATTTTACACTGCTTTTGTAATGTCAATATGGAGCCTTTTCATTATCTGGTCTTCAGTGAAAAATTATGAAACAAATAACCTACTCTAATAATAATTGGACCATCAGTGTAATTGTTGGAAATATATTTATTTGGTATTGAATCAAATTACATATTTTATCATATATTTTTTAATTCCCAAATATCTAGTAGCTATGGAAAGCGTACTTCTAAATGGCAGGTGATAATGAAATAGAAATCATCTCTTGTCAAAACTTCCCTTAAATCAGGACCTCAGTCATCATCCACAAGGGACGGACACTTCAGTTCTGTTTTTGACACAGCAATTGTTCTACGCATAGGAGAAATGCACACCTTCCTTAAAAAACATTTGGCAGAATATTCAACGTGTTGTCTTGAGGATTGCCCAAATGAGCTATGCTATGTCGAAGTGCCACTTCGTGTTGCACCTGATCCTTCAAAGGTATTTATTATTATTTATTTATTATTCCTGTTTTTAACGATGTTTCAAAAATACGTATAATACTTGCATGTTGTAGAATCACAGAATCATTATGGGTGGAAAAGACCTTCAAGATCACTGGGTCCAACTGTAAACCCCTGGACACCATGCCTGCTAAACCATATCCCTAAGAGCCTCATCGATACGTTTCTTGAACACCGCCAGGGACAGTGACTTCACCACTTCCCTGGCCAGGCTGTTCCAATGCTTCACTGCTCTTTCCATGTAGTCATGCTTCCATTCAACTTCCTACTGCCTCAAATAGTGGTATTGCTTGGAGTGCTATGGGAAACTTAAATTCATTACACATTATTCTTTATGGTTTCTTTTTTACCTGCTGTGTTCAGTGTTAGATGACGGAAGGGGAGCCTTGAGAGGTGAGGATTTGTTATCTTATCAAACTGAATTAAGCTACTTTTGTGAAAGTAGCTCTTCTAGAGTTGGTGAACTTTCTGCAATGTCGGACAGCATATCATTACTCATTTCCCAACAAAGAGCTGACTATGGCACTGAATAAATTGTAAATATATGGTATGTGACATTTATAATAGCCATCGTATATCAAAAAATATTTTACTCTGTCTGCTCTTCTTTTGACATAATTAGTATTACACTGTCCTAGAATAATAAGCTTCAGAGCTCACTGTCATGTTCGTGACAGGTGCAGGCTGCATAATCATGTGTTAGCTTCACTGTTGTAGACAGCTAACAAGCAGAAAGCTCTTACTTTTCTTATCAATTCTCAGCTTCATTGATTTTTATCACAACATTTTTAGAAGCTTCAACTATTCAGTAGACTGTATAAGTTATTTTTAAAAATGTTACTGTAAGTTGATACTGGTTTTTCTTTAAGTACATTTTTACCGACAAGATAATTTCACATCTCTATAACTCTTTTTTTTTGACTCTTGAATTATTTTTCAGCTCTACTGAACAAATAATCCAAACAAATTACATTAAAATTAAGAAAGCTATAATTAAAATTGTGCTTTGTTTCATTTTTTTGACAGTTGTATTTTATTCCACATTATGATAGTATGCAGGATGGATATGCTTAAATAAGACAGTAGTTTTTTGTTTATAGGACTTTGACAAAGTTAAATAGATAAACATATATGTATGTAATGCAGCAACCCTCCTGTTTGAAAAGAGCAGTTGTAATATTCTTCACCAAAAAATTAGTAACAAAAATAACAAAATGGAAAAAATAAATGATGCAGTTCCATGAAAAAATATACCACACATGTCCTAGAAGAAATATGTAGCATAAAATGCATTTTGGAGGGTCCTAATTAAGGGGCATGGCATAGATTAGATCGTTCCCATGTCTGTCTATGCATTTTATCCTAGTTTTTGTTGACTCTGCATGTTAGCGGGACCGAGGCTGATGTAGTCTCTTGTTGCCACAGCTGGAGTCCAAGACTCTATGTAGAGGAACGTGTAAATGGTGATTGCCTCAGTGCTTAGGGTCTGTGTGGCATTGACCCTCGCGAGGTAGTTGTCCCGTGACATAAGCCAGGTACATCCATGTGCCCAAACGCATGACTTCAGTACCGCTCTCTCCTGCCTTCATTCCATTGTATTTCCATGTGGGATGGGAACTGTTGTAAAGTAACGTTACATTAGTGGAAGTTCGTCTTCCTCCTACCTATAGCAATCATGACCTGCATTTTCTGAAAATAAATTTGGCAAAATCCTCAAGGCTTTTCTGGTTATCAACACTAAAAAAAAAAAGAACAATTTTCGATGTTCACATTTTGGGATCAACAATCATTTCATACAGCTTCGGTGTTTCCCCAAATGTTACTTTGTGGCCTCCAAAATCCTTTGCAGATCTGTATAATGCTTTTACAAAGTAGAAATGGCATAGCTCTGTTTAGCTGTATAAATGTTTTTACATTTGCATTTTTTGAAAGGAGAAATATTCTTGAGTGAGAGCTGGTTAACAGTACTCTTCTGATTGCTCCCCTGGTTCATAACAACAAAACATTAGAATTTGATGAATGGCCTGCTACTGTTGCATGTATAGTTTGGTAAATGACACGATGGATCTTCACAGGTTAAGAGGGTGAGTTTTACTTCGGTAAAACTTTGCAGTTGTACAGCTAATGAGAAAGCAAATAGGTAAACATATAAATCAAGCATTATTTTAACATTCAAGTTACTATTTTAATTATCAGTATGCATGAAAGTTAAATTACTATTGCAGCACAATATTTCATACGATCAGGGTGTTATATAATACCTTTTAGTAAAAAGAGTAAAACCATGAGGAGAATATAACACAAGAATTGCAATTGTGGATGTATCTGTAAGCCAGATGAAAGATTTGAAGGCAATTGCATTAACTTTAGAAGCATCACATTATGTGAACTTTGTTGCTTAAGTTCAGTTGGTAAAACGGACATCTTTTAAAAGAAGCATAATTTTGTACTGGAGCGAGTCATACTGATTCTAATAGACAAGAGATTATTATGAACAAGTGCATGTTACACAAGAAAAAAAAAAGCTTAAAATATAACATTTGCTTTTGTGTTTCAGATGTCTTATGAAAGTAGTGGAATTTCACCAAAGTTTTCACGTGTGAGAATAGCTCGTTCTGTTCCCGTCATCACCGAGACAGACAGTCAGACAGAGAGTAGGGCAGCAAATGCTTCCAATAAGCAGCTTAGCATTCAGTGGTACCTTCCTTCCCTGGCAAAGCCATCCGATGATACAGAAACTAAGGTATAACTAATTAAAGCCATTCCTTATATACTGGGACAAATTAAACATCATTAAGCATCCATTCTTGAAAACACTGGTATATTAGTAATGCCATTTTCTTGACATTCTCCATGTAGTGAAAATATTCATCTAGTTCATCTTCATGTGCTCTTATATTGATACTGCTTCATTAGACTGGTGAATTATGTGCCCTCCATGGATTTAAACATGGTATGATGACACACGTGCACAGGGTCATATTGGAAATATAAACAATTGTATACCCCCTTTTGCAAATTCAGTAAAAGCCTACTTGAAGTCTGAACTCTGGAGATGAATGTAAATGGGACTGAGTGACCAGGATCACTAGATATCTAGATGGTGACTGTATGGGCTAATAGCTCATTTAAAAACCCATATAAATTATATGGATAATTCAATTGTTGCATACCCATTAAAACTTAGTATAGTAAAAATTCATAGGAGCCCCCACTCTCCTCTTCTGAAAGCTGGTTACCAGAGTCTACAGCAGTACACCCAATTTGATTTATAACTTTGTAGCACTCAAATACCTCAGGTCTACTGTAACATACAGTACCTTATACCTTACATGTTCTGCCTCTTTCCAGATTTTGCTGCTTTATGCTTATAATACAAAGCCTGTCAAGATTAGCAACATGAAGATTTTTAGTTCAGTGTCTGTATTTTCAGGCTACTTGTGGATCCCACTGGTTAGGTAAGTTGTCACTGACATTGTCCTGTTATTTCATGCTGTATTAATGGTTAGTCAAACTTCTAGGATGAGAGAAAATGAAATACATAACAAAGAACTGTAAGTCTTAAAAGCATTCATTTTATCATTTCAGAGATTTTTCACTATCCAAACATATGCCTTTTCAGTACATTAGTATTTTGTCTTTGTTTCTTGAAGAATTGAGTAGCACATGCTAGTTACATTATCCTGGCATAGCAATATAAGAAAAAACTAGCAAATCTAAGAAGCAGTTACAGCAGCTACTCTCATAACTGCAAGATTCTTCTCAATTGTAGCCCCCGACTCTGCTCTTCTTTCTGCATCCCGTGGTGTTAATGGCTGAAGGCTTCTCCCAGCCTTCAGAGAATTCCAGCTCCAGAATTCTTACCCCAGGACTAACAGAGCAAGGGTAACTGCAGCCCCAGTCATCCAGCTTGTCAGTCTTTTTTTTTTTTTTTTTTTAACAGATACATACATAAAATACTGCTTCTTGCCATTTTTAATGCAAAAAGCCAAAGCATTTTGTATTTTCAGTTTCTTTAATGGAAAACTTTGTATGTGTTTGTGTGAAATTACACAGTCAGACTTGAAAGGAAATCTAGAAGTTAGACAATAGGTAATAGAAGGTCAGTGTTAATACAAGTTGGAAACAACAAATACTGCTCTTTTATAACAGCAATAACGAACAATGTTGTCTTCTTTCAGGGTTATTTCTTTACAGGAAGAATTATCTAATCTGAAGCAGCAAGTTGAAATTCTGATGCAAAGCTCTAGAAGTTTGTCCTCAGCCTCAGAAATTGCAAGCTTTCCTGAACAAAGTGAAACCCTGAAAATAATTCCTTCCACAAAAGCCAAAATGAATATTGCAAAGGTTCCTCTTGATGAAAAAACAGAAGTAAGTGAGAACAGTTGTGACAGTTTTTTTAAGATGTCTGTTTGGGGGAATGAATTACAGGCAACTTGGCAGATGCACTTCACACACTTTCAATCAATGTTGAAATACTTTCACTTTTAAGATTTAATTGTTCTTTTGCTATTTTTGGTACTTGATAAAAATAACAGGCATGTACATCCCCTTGAAAGTAAAGAGCACATTTTCAGGTACATCAATGCCTTATTTATATCAATCCACACCCGAAAATACTTGGCAGTTTTGAACTGGCAGGGCACCAAATCAGGCCAAAACTGCTTCTTAAAAATGGTTATAAATGTTCAGTGCAAAATGGGCAGTGATGGCTTTTGATATAAGAAACTTTATTCTACTAACATTATTCCAAAAAAGTAAAAGTGGCAGTGAATTTATTTTCATTTTCTCTAGGCCACCTTCCTCTCTTCATTTTATTAGTAAGGCTGCATATGGTCCGCAACCAAGTAACTCTCCCTCCCCCCCATCACACACAAAAGAGGTAATTTCAGAATTTGCCATGTGGTCTCTTTGAGATAATGTCAATGGAATAGAACGTTGCCACAGTGTAACTGCTGCTTGATAAATGCCACGGCAAAACAGACGTTTATTTTCAAAGTGGGAGACATTTATCATGTGACAGGATTCTCTTTATATCTATTATATGAAATGATTAATGATGTAGAGGCTGTCATTTTGCCTGGATGGACGCCGTGAAACAGTAACAAATGCTCCCTGTGCCATTATAGAGAAGCTGTATTTTGACCATCTTGGAGAACAAATGATGTTTTGGCCCATCACAGCATACAGTGATTTCAGGAGGGCAGCCGGAGCTGGCCTTTAGCAAGTATTCCTGATTACCTGAAGGTTTTTGCTCATTAATGTATGTCAGCCATTGGAAAACCAATATTTAGAATATGAAGATTACATGTATAAATATCATCTTGTTGGGCTGTTTGTTTATAATGTCTTCAGTAAACAGACAGAGAAGGTGTGCTCATTGGAGTTAATTCCTCTCCCAGGTCAATTTTATTTCGGTAAAAACTGCGAGGATTGGACATTTGAGCTCATATAGCAAAGCCAACTATTTGTGCTGCAAAATTTATGTTCATAAACCCTGCTTTACACTAAGGGTTAATTCAGCCAGGATAACCCAACACTTGAATGTTCTGAACCGTTTTGTAAAACCAAACTATCTAATACTTTATCAGGGAAGATTAATGGTAAAGCATTCGTTTTCTTGTTTTATACCTTTAGGAAATGGCTAAAAGGTGTTTGTCTGAAGTACAAGCACTGCTCTCTCTTGTTCCAGCTCTGTCATCACCATTAACTGAGGTAGGCTACTCCCATTAACAGCAGAAATCTGTTTTTAATATAAAATCTTGTTCAGTCAAACTGAAGTACAGATTAAACCACTAAGTACCTTTCATTTATTTTTCTCATATATTTATTGGGCTTGTATTTTACAAATGCACACCATTACAAACCATGCACATCTACTCTGTTAAGAGTCACATTTTGAAACATGCAAAAGCATATTAAAAAGTGAATCACACTCACAATGGATTCATCTGATTTATCCACCGTTTTCTGGTCATTGTTTATGCAGACTCCACTGAACTTATACTTCAATTGCACTGTAATTGCCAAACGTGAAGTAAATCTATCCCTGTGTTTTTAAGTTTTTCAGACTTTTATTTTCCTTGACTATCTCTGCCTTAACCATGACATATCCTCAGAGATAGCTTGCTACTTTTTTCTCCATGCTGTTGTATTCCTATTGTTACCTATTTTTTGTCATCATTCAGTTTTCTCAAGTGCTGATCACAGATTAAGTTCCCATGTTGTTAAGTGAAAATAGGTCTTAACGTATAAACAGAGCAAGATCTTTAGAAGACCAAAAAAAACCAAAAAAGAATATAATAAAGTCTTGCAAAGTGCTTAATACAGTGCTTGGAATGACTGTGTTCCTCTTGTCCGGTTGCGGTGCTGCCAGGAGCAGACGGCGGGAGCTGCTCAGCCAGCCCGCAGGGACCGGGAGAGGCCGCAGCTCCTGCAGCTCTGGTTCAATTAAGAAACGCCAAGAAAAAGTTTAGACTCCACCATGATGTATGAACCCCCTCCTAACACTCAAATATATTTCCTATCACATTATAGTGACAAATGGGTAAGACATCCAGTGTGCCCCTCTTTGCAGCCTGCTCCCTCTTCTATACCAGAACAGAATCCTGAGTTTTATCTGTGAACAGTTTGTCTAGTGGCCTATTAGAAAAGAGAGAATCTAGAACTGTCTCCTATGTATCCTACAAGTGGATATGTGGGAGTTCTCAAGTTCCCTTTTACTCATGTTGCACTGCCTTCATTCCCCTCTGTGTCCATCTGAAAGCTCTCCTAAATGACTCCCAAACCTTCACATCACATAATCCGATTTTTTCACTGTATCAAAACACACACGTTTTTTCACTGAACCTACACTTCCTGTGGTCTTACTGAGGTGTATGCAGTGTATACATACCACGGGTGCCTAGGGAAAGGTATAGATGAGCTTCCTTAGAACGACCTGGACCTCCCGGACCTGTTTTAAATTCTCATGAACTCTTTTCCTTATCCGCTTCCCTTTGTGAATCCACTATGCGAGGAAGCAGACTTAGAAATCTCCAGACTTAGCAGTCTTACTCCAGTAAGAAAAGTATGCTAACTGATCTGTTTTATGCATTCTTCATGCCAAAACAAGCTAAAATGTTACAGCAGGTGGAACAACTGACTTTTTATTATTTAAGTGGAATTTAGTAGAGACCAAATTCTATTAGGTTTGGGAGATTTGGTTGAGCAAGCAAAACGTAATCTTCAAGGTGCTGAGTATCTTCTTATTTCTGTGAAGCTTTTAAAAGTTGTAGAGTGCTCAGCACTTCTTTTTCTATGTTATATTTGTAAGCAGTGTTTCCAAAGTTTCAAATACACTGAAGTGTTTGCATTACAGTCTTCCTGGCTAGAGGTGGAAAGCACCGTGGGGGATCACGCCTTAGGTAGTTTTTGTTGTCTTCAGGCTGCCGGAGAAGGCAGCAAAATACAGTGCTATAAACTTTGGTTTTGTGTAGCTTCACATCCACACCATAGGCTTTTTGCTCCTGGTCTCGTTCAAAATTAATTGGACAAAGTTCTAATTTGAGGGATTTCTTTCTTCTCATTCTCTAAACTGCTACATTTTAACTGCTATCATGTCTCTAGTGTCTCTCTTTTTTTTTTTCACTACTCATATGTCTTGCAGTACTTTGGCTTCAGCACTGAAAAATACATTTTCATTGAATTATTTATTTCAAATTATTTGGCTGTTTTAAGAATAAAAAATGTTCAACCAGCTTGTTTTAGAGTTTTATATTTAATATTTAGTTATGTTCGCGAGGGTCATAATAAGGCATAGTACTTAGGAATTCCATTTTTAAATTATAGAAGTGTATTTCTGAATAAAATAATTGCATTAAAAATTAACCTCTATTGATAGCCCTGCTCCAGTGCTTCTCTTCCTGCACAGTTATTTCTTTTTAATACCTAAATCATTTTTGTTGCATGTTCAGCTAATTCTTCTCCTTGTCTGATGAGCATAGAAAACAATTTATTATTGCCCTCTGGTTCACCTTTTACAGCTAGCTCTGTTCTTTCAATCTCTTATCATAGGAAAAGCTTTCCAAGTTTCTGATCATGCTTCCTGTTCTCTTTTGATATCTTCATTTTACTTACAAATGATCAAAAGAAACTTTGTGAGCAGGATTCTTCATGGAAATTTCCTCCCCTTAATCCTAGTCTACTGGTTTAGTGCAAGAGATTTCATTATCCACAATTTGAAATTGAGGCAACTGAGTATTTGTTTTACACTGAGTATTTGTTTTGAATTGACTAGTTACTTATTCTTTAGGCAAAGTTCAGAACTCCAGTTTGAAATAACAAACAGTACACTCATACAGAGGTATTTCTATATTGTATATATGTACTTCTTGGTACTTAAAAGCTTAATAAATTTATTCATTTGGTATTTTTCCCTGCCTTTTTTTTTTTCCCAGATCCCATTTGATATTACTTTGCAATCAATAGCTGCTTTGGAAAGCATGTTTGATCCTGCCAATGGATGTGTAATAACTGAAGAAAGTCTTTTCAATTGGATCACATCTCTGCTCCAGTAATTTCTATTTTTGCAATAACTTAATCATTTGCTTAATGCTTAAGTTCAGGAAATTTAGGCTTAAGTGTTAGGGTGGCGAAGTAATAGAAAGTTTCCACTGACTCTATTAATCGCATCAGGATTTGACTGCTAATGTCCTTTATCACTTTCATGTTTTTTTCAAACTGTTTAAAAATTAAAACTACAATATAATTTTAGGAATTAAATGTATTAACAGTACTTCCTAACACAAATATTAAAAAAGTCTGATTTAATCAATCAAATATAAGAAAGTGAGTCTGCATTTTGTTGGGGGTTTTCTAGCTTTTCAGAAGTCTCTATTGATTAGGAAAGGTGACTAGGGTTTTGGTCTCCTAATATTCAATTAAAAGAAACTGATTTTTCCATAAATCTGCATTCTTATCAGCAAATTTTTAATTGCTTTTGCAGTCACCAAAATATTCATCTATTTCTGAATTTGAGGAAAAAAAAATACCTAAAAACCATCACTGTTCTTTTACATTTTTTCTATTTGAAAGCTAGCATCTCAGATTTTTCTGAAAGTAATTGATGGGGAAGGTATTTTCATAAGGCAATTTGAAAAAAAAATACTTATACACTTACCGCTAACAGCATCACGGGGAAAATGGAAGCAAAGTTTTATTACAGACAAGGATTTTCTTTAGTGTTGCTACTCTGTACCTTGTTATAACTCCTATGTTCATACTTAAAAGCAGAATATTAAATAAAATGATGTATATATGCATTTAAAACATCTTATGCTTTCCACAGTATTTTTGTTGGAACCAAAATATTATCCTACCACTTTCTTTAACACTGCAGTAATGTAATAATGTTGAAATGTTGACCTCACTGTATCCATAGCAGCAGATTTCACTCTTATAAACACAGAATTAAGTATTCAACACAGGTTTCAGTAGAAAACATTGCAGAAAACATTTTTTTTCGCATATAATTAAACTCTCTAGTTAAAATCTGCTTGTGAGGATGAAAGCTCATATTTAAACATGTCTTCAGTAACTACATAGAATAAAGTATAAAGCTAATTAATTGCAAAGTAAATTGCTTCTTGTTTTATATATTATAGCAGTTTGGGTGTTTTTTTCTTTTTTCTTGCTGGTGAATGAAGATTAGAGCTTACAATGTTAGACTAGAATAAATTTGTGTCAGCACCATGCTCAATTAAATTTCTACAGAATACTTTCTGCTTTACTGTCTCCAAAAGCATAAAGAAAGAGAGAAAAGTGCATCTTGTTTTATCTCACAGTCTGCAGTGTGTGAGAGGGCCCTCCTGCTGTATGATCTGCCCTGCTATCTGCCTTTTCTAATGCTGCAGAGGGCTAATTACCACCTTGACATCTTGAAAAGTTGGCATAGTTACGAATTCTTTGCAAATTGTAACTACTTTCTCCATTCTGCATGTCTACAAAGGAATTTGTAATATTTCTTCATCTGATAAGTGGTGGGACAGGGCAAGTGTACTGTGGGGATAAATTAAATGGATTCTGAAACGAATGGTATTTTATCTTGATAATGCGCAAGAAGGATGCTAGAGGTAACTGAAGAAAAGTAAAATCTGTACCACTTCCTTGAGTATTGGCCGTGGATTGAACAAAGTAAGAGAACAAAACAGTTTATGATCCTGTAATTAATAATTGCATGATCAACAGTGAAGAAATACTCAAATTTAACGGGGAGCGCAATACTGAGAATTCTGAATGTTTTATGTTTCAGAATATTTCATTTTTCAAATATTATTTTGATATAGTTTTCAGTTACATTGCTGCCTAAATACAGAATTGTACATCGAAAGCATACGTAGGATTTGTCTCATATCTACAGATACTGAGCTACTTGAAAATATTTCTGGTTAAATTAATTTTAAGATGTGGATATTAGTGATTTCACACAAACTTAACCAGTTATATGTTACTAGTTTTTTAATTCCACTTCCACTCCAACTCATTGCGAGATTTTCTTCGGCATTAAGTATTTATCCATTCTTTTGGGAAAACAACAATCCCTAGTAATTAGCCTCGCTACGCCTCGAAGATAAGAGTAATCCCTTCATCTGTAGGTACTGTGAAGTTCAGCATCTCAAAAATATTTTTGAATGATGGGAGTGAAAGATTTAAGTTGTTATTTTAACACAATGTAGTCATTTGTTTTCAGTAACATTTTCAATTAAATCCAAAAAACAGGATTTTTTTTAAGAATAATGATGGAAGTAGAATTAATTGTTGGATTTACAGGCTAATATGCTAAACTAATTAGGCCAGCAAAGAGTTCCATTTATGTTTGCCAAAGATTCTCTTTGAGTTAAAGATACTGAAAACATCATCAAATGAAAGAAATGAAAACAGGAAGCAGAGGTTAATTTTCATAAAATAGAGTGGGTGAAAGGGTCCAGAAGCAAGTACTGAAGTCAAATATTTACCAGTGGAATTTAATTTTCCACTTTGAAACACTAGAGATAATTAGAATTATTATCATTTGTCTCTCATGTCAGCATGATTTAAGATTCTACTTAATGCGCAAAGAAAAAAAAAAGAAAAATATGTATTGAAGCAAATTACAGCAAAAATCTCACTGTCACATGCAGGAAAATAAAGAAGTGCACTGCCTGGGAGGAGATCACGAGATGATGGCTCAGGGTCTGCTGGGGCTGTTCTCAATACAGTCATGTGGAAGGCGAAGCTCTGTAAAAAGTCAGGGCACCTGCAGGGCTGGTTTAACTTCTGGTCTGTTGTCCAGGCATTTCGGTAGGCATCACAAAACAAACATGCCTTAGCCAAGACTTTTTGCTTCTTGAAACTCATGTGTTCACCTCACAGCTGTGTGGAGTGGTCAGCATAGGGGCTTTCACTGTGTTTTGGGGTTTTTTTCCCACAAAAGCAAGCGCTACAGGATGCTTTGCAGCACTGGAGCAGAAGGGCTCTGTGCTTCAGCACTATCACCTTGTATCATGTATCTAGAGTATGACCTATCTGCAGAGCTCAACTTCCAATCTCAGCTGAAACCAACTTTCTGTTTATCGTGTGAAATTATTGCGTACATTTCACAGAGTGTAGTGTATTGATTGCCTCGGTTACATTCCCATGCTTCCATTACCGGACAGTGGCATTAAGTGGACCATTAAACATTTCGCTAAAAATACTTCTTTACAAGTAGTTTGTTCTGTGGTAAACGGAATTGACTACACTGATAGCACGGCCTCCCACTTGGAGGTTGGAAGCAGCAACACTTCATGCTTTCTAGGGGTTATAAACTTGCAGTACAAATGAACCAGTTTGTCCTGTGATTACAAATACAGGGTAGAAATGCAGCAGTCACTTGAAATGCTGGCATCAGTAATACCAACACACGCCTTAACATTTGGAAAGAACTGGTTTAATTGGGGTGGGATGAGGTGGGGAGGGTGTCACAGAATGATGTCAAAAAATGCTGGTGCTCTTTATTTGAAATAAAATTATTAATTGCTTGACTTGGAGGCTTACAGAGCTTGGAATATGGGTACTCGCTTATCTCTCCTAAACCTGGTTAAGCTCCACACTGAGGTGCTTAGGAAAGAAAAAACAGAGGATATTGTTTAGAAAAAGCGTTAGCTCCCTGTGGAAGGTACACAGAGTACAAGTATTCAATGCAGATGGGAAACAACCAGGCTTAAAAGCAGATTAAGAAAAGAAGGTTGGAAGGGGGCACAGGAGACTTGTAGGAATGCTGTTGGGCCATTAGTTTTCATAATAGATTTGTAACGGAGAAGACATATGGCAGATATATGATGACTAATGATTGATTAATGAGGATGAATAGATGAAATAAACTAGGCACTTATTCACTGCTGTCTGGAAGCAATGGTATTTTGAACAGAAGTAACATTTTTTTTTCTTAGCACCGAGATCACTTACACAGACCAGAAGTGAAACCAACTTGGTAAACCAAAGCTCCATCAACAAAGGAGAGTGAGTGGGGAATTTCCTACCTGGCAATGTTTAGGGCCACTTATAAGATAAAGATTCATTTAGTTAAACTATAATTTTCCTGTCTGAGAGCCCTTTAAAGGTGATCTCCACTTTGCTTTAGCCCACACTGCTGCCAGAACTGCTGGCTTTGTTCTGCTGCATGAAGTGTGAACCCGCACCTTTCTGTGCACGTCCGTGCGGCTGCTACATTCAAAGTCAGCACACAAAGACCCTCCGTTGCTGGAATTAAACGTGTAGAGGGGTGCGCACGGAATAACTCTGCTTCGAGCACAACATCTGTAATAAAAAACGGATGCCCACTGGCAGGTTCACGTTAGCAGCTGTTCCAGTTGGAAACTGTATTGCCAGTTTTTCAATAGTATAATAACGACAATAACAATAATGCATTATGATTAACTATAAGCTGTTATTTATGTTTGCCGCTTGGTTGCCCCGGGGCCGCCGCTCCCGCTCGCGCGGGGCT